CCATCAGGGAAGCCAACGCAGCAAGCTTTTCCTGGAGGCTGGCAGTGCACCATCTTGCCCTCTGGAACCAGGAAGGTATGCTCAGAGTGAGAACCAGAGCTCCCCAAAGTGAACCAAAGCCATTCTCTGTGCCAGCGAGGTCCCGAGCTCCTCGGAGTATGAAAACAGCTAAGTTCATCAGGAAAGCCAGCTCCCCACAGACTCTCTCAGCTCTCAACAGCCTCCTTCTTCTTCTCCAGGTCTGCCTTTATGCTGTTGGCAACAGTCCTCAGGTGGGCCTCCCACACCCAGCACCACAGTTACTCAGTTCAGCTGGGGGTTATGAGTTGACCACCAGTCATCAATCCACTACACCACCCCAACTGCATCTTTGTTAGATGTGGCAAACAAGTTCAAGGATAGTCCCTTATTTCTTCCTTATATTTATATCCTTGTGTCATTGCTTTTTCTTGAGTGAGGGTAGGACCTGTGCCTTTATTCAATAGTGTATGGCAGAGGTACTGGAATGTACTTCTTTGAACGTGTTTTTAACATGCCTGTTTTGCTACCTGACTCATGCTAGAGCAGTGGTGGGGAGCCTTTTAGAGTTTTCAATAATACCAAACAGCTGGCTGCAGCATGGGTGCCATACACTACTCTAGAGCATCTTTTTCCTTGCTTGATGAAGCAACTCTGTCGCCCATGTGGCAAGAAACTGCAAGTGGCCTGTAGGGATTGCAGCAACATCTAGGAATCAAGGACAGCCTCCAGATAAACACCTGCAAGAAGCTGGGGCCCTAGCTGGCCGTGGTGGTACATGTCTTAATCCTAGCACTCAGAGGCCAAGGCAGGAGGATCACTATGAGTTTGAGACCAGCCTGCACTACAAAGGCCCTGTTTCAAAAAACAGCAAAAAAAGAAGCTGGAGCCCTCTGTTGTGACACTAAGTCAATTCTGCTAGTGACCTAAGTAAACTTGGAAACTTCTTTTCTTTGGCTGAGCGTCCAAATGAAAACACAGCCCAGTGGATAACTTAATCGCTGAGTCACAAAATCCTGAGCAGTGGACCTAGAAAGACATACCTGGGTCCCTGTCCCACAGAACATGTATCATAAGAAGTGTATTGTCTTAAGATGTAAAATTTGTGGTAATTTAATACACAGTGATATATCTCTAATACAGCAAAAGTGGGAAAAGATCTGATTCCGGGGAGATGGTCTTATAGGTTAAGATCCACAAGGCTCCCGGCCAGGTCCAGATTCTGGGTAAGGTTCTAGTTTACTAAGTGGTGCTTGTCCTTCTCCCCCCAGCACCACTTGTA